GATAAATAGAGGTAGGATTTGCTCATATGTTAGACAATAAGCTATTAGAAAACAACCTTGCTATATCTCAATCGATACTATATTCGTGAGATCTTACAGTGAAATGTATGCGAAAAAATAGATTTTTTTTTCCTTTCTTCCATGTTATGTCACTTGACTGTCGACTGACACCTAGCAACACCCGAAAACAGTTTTGACTTTATTGTATTCGTTTTGATAAAGAGATTATATGTGAGAAATATCCAGTAAAACTCTCATGTTGAACGGAAATGAAAAGTAAAATAAAGAGGATAAAGCAAAGACACGAAGTCTTCGAATTTAGGTGAGTCTGAATTCTTTTAGCAATTAACTCCAACTTGCACTAGGGCTGCTCTTTCTTGTGACCTTGGCAACTAATACTTTGTACTTTTTAAAATGCCAAACCAAAAGCGCTATCTTAAAAGTATGAGTACCAACTACCCAATATTGGAGAGAGATTGGCAAAAACAGAAAAGAGTGATAACATGGTGACATTGCAAGATAACGATGGAATATACATACAAAAAACGAAAACAGAAAATAACACCAACTTGCACCCTCTTTCGATGTCATCACCCATCAGAACCGCAATAACATTAAATTCTCTCTTTTTTGGTGCAGAAAAGAAAACAGAAAAGCATCACAGTGCATGCATTGCATGCAACCGGGACCGGCCATGGAGAAACCAAGAACGATCAATCACTGATGATCAGCTTTGCTCATCCGACGGCGGCGGGGAAGAGGAGGAGGTGGTGGTCGCGATGGCGGCGAGTTTCTGGAGGTTGAGCTTGACCACGGTGTCGGTGAACATGCGGGTGTCCTCCTCGGTGTTGCCCTCCGGTACGTCGACGACGTAGGACTCGACAACGACGCAGTAGGGCGGGCCTGAAGGCTGGTCCGTGAACTCGGTGACGGAGGTGACGGAGCGGTAGTTGCGGAGGCGGTGCTCGCCGCCGACGACGCGGAAGCTGAGGATGTGGCGGTCGTCGTCGAGGATCTCGAGGCGCTCGGTGCTGGTGGAGGCGGGGAGGCCGGAGACGACGGTGACCTCGCGGACGCTGCCCACGGTGGCGCCGTCGCCGGCGGCGAGAGCACAGGACTTGATGAAGTGCTTGTAGCGCTGGGGATTGGCGAAGCCGCGCACGATGTCCCACACGGCGGCGAGAGGCGCCTGCACGCGCTGTGTGACCAGCGACGTGCACGTCCCGCTGGCGCGCCCAGGGAATGTGTGGTGCTCCTCCACCACGCCCTCCACCTCCCTCCGCTCCGGCTCCGTCAACCCTTGACGAAGCGCGCTCTCCATGTGGGGCTCCATGCTCTTCCTCTCTCTCTC